CAGTTCACATTATGTTCTCTGCTGATAACCTTCCGTTGCCTTCCCACTTTAGATTAACAGCCAGTGTCCTTCCCCCAGCGTTTGTAGGCCTGGGATGGCCTGACTGCTGCTACCTCTTTGACTGCCCTCAGCCATGGCTTGTGCTGCTTCTGGCTGCCCCCGTTCATGATGCTTGTGAACACAACCACTTGACACATCTGCTTTGATGTTCTAACCCTAAATACTTCTCCATGTTTGACTTGTGGACAGTGCCCTCTAGGCCTCATGAGGGCAGAGTTCTCTGTCTGTTTGCTTCATTGCTGTATTCTCTGGGTCTAGAATTGAGCCTGGCACACTAAACATGCTCATGAATATCATGTAAAGGACATTCATATGGGTAAGCATAAAGCTTGCTGTGGATTTGTTGTTACGATCTTAGTATCTTGATAGGACAGTGCAGGGCACTGTATCCAAGTCAGTAAATGCCATTTTGCATTAATCTGTCTGCTTTACTTTGTGAAACAGTAGGATAATGGTGGGCTGCAGTTTGGGGGGCTTGACTAACATTTCCTGTGTTTGCTTCTGCTGCTGCCTGGGAGGAGACCCCATGTGCAGCAGTGTGCCCTGTGAACAAGTGACTGCAAACATGGCCTGCAGCTTGAGAAACTAGGCTGCTGTTCGTGCTTAGACAGGCTACTGACTTCATTGTTCAGCTTTCTCATCTGTGAGACAGAAGAAAGAATACCTACTTCACACTTCTTTTAGAATGAGTGTGTGGATACATGCTAAATTCCCAGGACACTGACACAGAGAGCAGAGCAGATGCTAATTGCTAAGCTAACATGACAGTGGGAGACTAATAATCACATGGAAAGATTATAAAAGATTTGTATTTTATGGAAGAGATATGGGGCTGAGATGACTCAGTGGTTAAGAACTCATTGCTCTCCTAGAGGACCAGGGTTTGGTAACTTCAGCTCCAGGAGGATCTGATGTCTCTGGCTTCCTTAAATCCCCCCCCACAAAATTAAAAATATGTAATTGATATATTGAGGCTGAGAATGTAGTTCTGTGCTGAGTGCTCATCCAGCATATATAAGGCTGTGGGTTTGATCTCCAGCACCAAGAGAAAGAGGGAGGGAAGAAAGGAAAGAAATCATAAAACGTTCAAGAAACTTTGCACTTGTTTCTGGCCATGGAAGCCAGGCAGCAGAGAAGGGTGAGTTGAACATGGGAGAAGCAACATTACAGAACAAACCACATCCATCTACAGTTCAGTCAGGACGTTCTTGTGACTGCATCATTCACTGCCTGACAAGAATGCCGGTGTCTTTGTTCAGCAGGACCCATTGTTAGAAAATCCTGTGCTGATCTGAAACCCACCTCCCCTGTTGCCTTATGCTGGCCCTGGCTCTTCCTCTGCAGTGACAGAGCAGCCGGTGGGTGGCGTTGCTCAGGTGCAGTCTCCTCAGCTTGTGCGGCATAGGTTCGCTTGCCTCCTCCTCCACAGGGCATGACGTGTGAACCGTCCATCATCTGGTCATCCGTCCTCCGTATGGTTCATTCAACAGTGATCTCAATCATTTAGTCCCACAGTGTGAGAAGCGACATATGCAAATGCAAGTACTATTTGCATTTGGGGACAAGCTGTATCAATCACTGACTGCAAGCTGTAAAAACTTGACTCATCACTTAGAGCCTCATTTCCTCAGATAGAATGACTAGGCATTACTCATGAAAGATCCTTAAGGAAACTGTCTTGATTTGAATAATTTAGGAATTAGTAATAAGAAGCTAAGTGTTTGGCTTTAAGGAAGAACACTATATGCCAGCCTCCACCCTGTCGCATTCTTGCTAATTCTGATTTTATCGACGAGTGCACAAACCTAAGAGTCTGAGATCACCCTGTGACATTCCAGCCTAGTGTTACCTATAAGTCACAGCATCCCAAGTGATAGTCTCAGTTTTATTGCTTGAAAACTGTCCATTTCATTAAAGCAGTGCAGTTAATGGCTGCTCCTACTTGGCACACGGTATTTATATTGCCTACCTCTATTCTAATTTGTGTTTGCTATAAGGACAGTTGTTGCCCATTTTTGCTGATGGTTTCATTTGGCTTCACTAGCTTTTACCTTTGTCTCACCTCACCGTCTTGATTTGACTTGGTCCTGGCTGGGAGAGGTCCTCTCTGTGGGGATGTACTGGCAGGTCCTTCAGTGACTCCCACCCCCTTTTCCTCCTCTGTAGTGAAAGGCTTATCTCTGTGGTTCCTCTCCTCCACCCCAGCATTATTCCCTATAGTAGCAGGTAGGGTGGGTCACATTATACTAGTCCATGCTCTTTTTATAAAAGCCAGATTCACTGCTGCCCATTCTTCCAGCCTCTTCATTTAGTCTCATTGATGACTTGACTACCCCTCCCCCACCCACCTAGATGCTCAGTGAGGGCAGCACCATGCACCTTCACCCCTGTCCTGAAACCACACTGCTCACAGCTACTTCCTTTTTCTTTCTTTGCTTTTTTTTAATTTTTTACTTAAATTAGAAATAAGCTTGCTTCACATGTCAATCCCAGCTCCCTCACCCTCCCCTCCTCCCCTGACCCCCACCAAACCACTCACGCCCCCACCCAAACCCCACTTAGTTCCCCAGGGAGGGTGAGGCCCTCCATGGGGGATCTTCAAAGTCAGTCATATCATCTGGGTCAGGGCCTGGGCCCTCCCCCATGTGTCCAGGCTGAGAGAGCATCCCTCCATGTGGAATGGGCTCCCAAAGTCCATTTGTAAACCAGGGATAAATACTGATCTACTACCCCAAGCCCCATAGATTACTGAGGCCTCCTCACTGACACCCAAATTCAGGGGGTCTGGATCAGTCCCATGCTGTCCTTTCAATCATCAGTTTGGGATCCATGAGCTCCCCCTTGTTCAGGTCAGCAATTTCTCACAGCTACTTTCTTAGAATCTCACAATTCCTTTTTCTTTGAGACAGAGACTGGGCATTTCCTTGGTGAGTGTCAAGTCTCCCTGTCATGTGGACATTCATGTGAAAGTAAAACTTGAACTTAATTTTAATTTGGCAAGTCTCAACTACAACGGTCTGTAAAGGCTTGGTAGGAGCCAGCTAGGTTGGTTTCTGCTGACACCTGTTGCTGCTTCCTCTCTAGACTACTCTAAAATGATCACAGAGTTCCCAGGGGTTGGCTTGAGTGTGGCTTGTAGCCTTGACCTAGCCATGTCATAAAATGTGATCTGAGGCAGAGCTTGTTTTCAGTTTGTTGAGATTGTTTGTGGTGTTAGTGTGCCAGAGGTTTGCTCATTTCAGTAGAGTCAGTTTTAATGTACGCCATTTGAACTGGAAGGATAGTCCTAAGCATTCATCCCAACACGACTGCTATACTGCCCAAGTGAGTAAATCTTTGTGATCAGGTCACCAGAACACTGCTTGGCTGTTTACCTAGTGGCTCAGAGAGCAGGAGCTTCTGCCAAAGGAGCCATTTGGTTCCCTTTTGGTACTGACTGTGCCTCTCTGTTTATCTATGAAGTAGAATCTGAGAAGTCCATCATGTTCTATTGTCTCCTCATCATGACCCTTTGCCTTTCACTTTTAGATCAGACAGAAAGGGCCAATGCTCTGGGAAGGGGCGTGGCTCTACTCATTAGAGCTGTTCTTGTGGTTGAAATCGCTGAGAAATCAGAGCATTTCCACATTTACCTTCTCAGCACTGTCTGAACACAGCCATAGCCTAGAATTCTTTTTTTAAGCCACACTATTAGTGAAAGAACTTAGGATAGATCAAACATTTCCTTAGGTCTTAACGCTATGACTGAAAAGGTTCTCTGGGCAGTGAGTATGAAAGGTGCGAGCAGAAGGAAAAGGCGGGAGAGATGAAAGGGGTTTGGCTGCTATAACAGTGTGTGCTGCCATGATGAGCAATTCTGTCATGTGGCCCAGAGAGCTGTCCTGAAGGAGATCATTGAGTCCTGAGTGGTGACCAGCAGTGGCAAGGGAAAGGTCCCAGGGCCATCTTGTCAGGAGCCTTTGTACCGACTGCCTGAGGATCTGTCAGCTCTGTCATTCACAGCACTTAGGTGGTAAGCAACTCAGTCAGCTGTGAGACGGGAGAGCCACGGAACAGTGTTGCTCTAGGGAGACGTTTTCTGCCCCAGTGTTTGCTGGCGAGTCAAGTCTGACTTAGACTTTACACTTAACTAGTCAAGAGGCCAAGAAGCTTTTAGCTCCTTGGCTTTTCTGAATCCATTTTCCTTATCCATAAGAGAGGGGAAAGGCAGTCTGCGGTGCTGGGCTGTTACATCAAATGAGATACTATGGGGTGCTCTGTCATATGTCAAGTGCTCAGTCATTAATTTTCTTCTTGTATATCAGTTGTCCATCTTCTAGCAGAGAGGCAAATTCTTTTTATTCAGTGAGTCAGAGGCAGGGTTTTCTAGACTGCTGATCCAGGAAAGGTTAGCAAAGTTCTATCTGCTGCTATTGCTGGAGAATGTAGATGTGAGGACAATCACATATGTTTGACCAGTTGATCTACTTCTGATGAATACATAGGGTAGGATGGCATCTAAGCAACCAGAAGATATTATTTTAAATAGTAGGAGAAAATATTTTTTTTGAGACAGGATTTCTCTGTGTAATATCCATGGCTGTCCTAGAACTCACTCTGTAGACCAGTTGGCCTTGAACTCAGAGAGATCCATCTGCCTCTGCCTCCCCAGTGCTGGAATTAAAGGCATGCACCACCACCCCCTTCATAAGAAATATTTTTTTAAGAGATTACTCTGGGCTTGAAATGTAGTTCAGTACTAGAGTGCTTGCCCAGCATGCATAGGCTCTGAATTTTATCCCTGGTCCCTGCTCTGTGCATACACAGACACATAAACACATGGACATGGACATGTACATGTACCTATACACATACATACATGTACACATAGGTACATTATATAATAATATCAATTGAAGTTATTTTGTTACTGACCATAACTTTTTTATTCATAACTCCAGGGAAGGAAAAATATGCAAGATGGTGCAAGTGATGGTGAAATCCCCAAATTTGATGGCGCTGGGTACGATAAGGATCTTGTGGAAGCCCTGGAGAGGGACATTGTGTCTAGGAACCCTAGCATTCACTGGTGAGAGTCTTGAATTATAGTAGAGAAGAAAGCATCACAAGGGTGGGTTGCTGTGAACCTTCGCCCCGATCTCTTGATGATGACTTTGTCTGTAATAATAGTTCTGTCAAATTCTAACAAAGGAAACTTTACATGTTAATCTGTTGTTGACATGCTGACAATGTTTGCCAACTGCATAAAGTGCTCTAATTAATAGCCCAGTATGGTTTCACTGGTCATTTTTTATAGTAAGAATTAAGTGCAGTCTTAATATAAGAATAACTTTGTAAGTAAACAAATTTAAAGTAATTAGCTTTGACCATAAATCAGAGGTGTCCCCTGAATAAGCAAGCATGCAACTGTTCTCTCCAAGGGATGACATAGCAGATCTGGAGGAAGCTAAGAAGTTGCTCCGGGAAGCTGTTGTCCTTCCCATGTGGATGCCTGACTTTTTCAAAGGGATTAGAAGGCCATGGAAGGTGAGTGTGTCTGAAAGCCTTGAAGTGGGGGTGCTCGAATAATGAAGGGCAGCAATGCTGTGGGTCTGTGTGTTAACACCATTGAGAGATTGGGCAACTCACAGTCACCTCCACATCTGGGCGTGAATATGGAGTTGAGATATGCTGCAGCCACACAGCAAGAAGGTGGGCTTGGAACAGTGATGCTGCCATCTTCCAAGTCATGTGTTTCAGGTGCTGAGCTAGAGACTAGTTTTAAGAACTTTTGGATGTCTTTTTCTGTAAAGAAAAAGTTAAGCAAATTATGTGTTTGTGTGTGTCTGTGTATGGGTATGTGCGTGTGAGTGCAGGCACCCCCGAGGCCAGAAGAGGGCGTTGGATCCCCTGGAGCTGGAAATAAAGATGGTTGTGAGATGCTGTCTGTGGGTGCTGGGAACTGAGCTCAGATCTTCCGCAAGAGTAGCACTTTTTTTTTTTTAACCACTGAGCCATCTTCCCATCCCCAGAAGGGTTAATCTAAGAAGTCCACAGAATTATAGCATTGTCTCCCCTCAGGTTCAAGAAAGGTTCTTTCTAAATGCATGAGAGGGCTCTTTGCTCCCAAGGCTTTTGTTTTCTCCTCTTCTCTTTTCCTCCTTACCTTGTGTTTTAGCAGGCAGGGCCTCCTCTTGAGTCCAAGCTAGCCTCCAACTCTGAACACTCTGCATAATGCTCACATTCGGGGAATATAGGCTCGAGTCGCCATACCTGTTCTGCCTGTCTTTTATGAGCTTATCTCTGGGCACTTGTGACCTGAAACACCTGGATAAATCACTTTTCATCATTTTCTTGTTGCTCTTGCTAAATCACAGATCTCACAGTGACAACAGAGTTTATATCTAGTGGGGAGCCTCATGTACATCAGCATTGCCAGTTGATGATAGTTTATAGAAAACATTTAAATCTAGTACATTGTCTAATCCATCCTTGGATTTTCAGGGTGTGCTGATGGTTGGACCTCCAGGTACTGGGAAGACTATGCTAGCGAAAGCGGTTGCCACTGAATGTGGGACAACCTTTTTCAATGTCTCCTCTTCTACACTGACATCTAAGTACAGAGGCGAATCTGAGAAGTTGGTCCGTCTGTTGTTTGAAATGGTAAGTGTGATGTGTTTGGATTTCCAAATGCTGTTTGTCTGTGTGGGCCTGTGGTTCCTCATATCCAGGTGTGTGCTCCTTGAGATCTTCTGAAAGAGCTGTGTGGGTGTATCCGACTAGCTATGGACACATTAGTGGTAGTGGATTTTGTGGGATACTTGGTGTCTTCAACATATCTTTCTCGATGAGATGAAAACACTGATGGGACAGAAGACTTCTAAAAGCCAGCCAGAGGCAGATCTATCATTAGATATTGATTTAAAGTTACTTCCAATAATTTTTTTTCCCATGGAGGGAGACAGGTAGATCACTTGAGTTTGAGGCCAGTCTGGTCTACATACCCAGTTCTAGGCCAGTCTGGTCTACATAGTGAGATCTGTCTCAAAATAATAATAAATAATAAATAAAAAGTAGAAAAAATAGTAATGAATCTCTGTGTATCTTTCATCCAGCATCACCAACTATGTAAGTTGTATTTTTGGATTACTTTTTCCTGAAGTGATTGTCAATGACAAGATAGTACCACTTTAATAGACAAAAATTGTAGCTTTCATTTGCCACTGTTTTAGAATGAAAAAGTTACTTAAAAAATAGAGTACTTTATGAGATAATTGAATGATTACTTTAAATGTTTTCACCAAGGCTAGGTTCTATGCCCCCACCACGATCTTCATTGATGAGATAGATTCTATCTGCAGTCGAAGAGGAACGTCTGACGAACATGAAGCGAGCCGCAGAGTCAAGTCCGAGCTCCTGGTCCAGATGGATGGTAACTGATTTAAAGACTGTTGCCCAGGTCACTCGCTTTCAGCCATGTCTGTACTCAAGATTTGTAAGTTTTGGATGAGTGGTCAGGAGGCAGCTGTGACTTCTCTTTAGTCACTTGCTCATCACCCACTTGTTCACGCATCCTAAAGCACTCATTGAATACTCACAGTGAGCCATACGCCAGTCCAGGTTCTAGGTTATGGAGCAGAGGACTACCCTGGCCACCAAGGAGTTTGCTGGTAGAGCCAAGGCTCTGAAGGTGTGACTGGGAGTCCCTGGGCCTTCAGACCACCTGAGGGCTCTACAAGGGCTACACAGTTTCAATGCTAACATCAAGGCACATTTACTGGTTTTGCTTTAATTCTCTCACAAGTGTGTAGTAGAGCTTGCTAGGGTCCACAAAACCTGAGAGAGTCCCAAAGGATGGAGAGCAGAAGCAGATGGGAGAATGCTGATATTCTCTTATTTACTCAGATGTGCCATTTTAAAAGTCTTCTAGGCCAGGTAATGGTTGGTGGCCCATGTGTTTAATCCCAGCACTCGGGAGGCAGAGGCAGGCAGGTCTCTGAGTTCCAGGACAGCCAGGGCTACACAGAGACACCCTGTTTTGAAACACAAAACAAAACAAAACAAAACAAAACAAAAAGCCTTCTAAGACTTGGGAGGTTTTGAAAACTGTGCTTGTTTTTCATAAAATATATTATTTATCTTAATTTGATGAGTCACGAAGTCTTATTTTTACAACAAACTAATACTTTGAATATTCTATCCATCTGTCTGTCTGTCTATCTGCTTATGTTGTTGGGGCTAGAATTTGGAGCCTTGTGTCTGATAGGCAAGCACCACTGAGCCAACAGCCTAGCCTTTCTATGTTTTGGTACCCGATGGAAAACACTGATAGACATACCGCACACAGTGATAGCTCTTAAGAGTTCCAGGGATTTTAAGAGCATCAAATGTCTTGAGACCAAAACCTTTGAGACCATCGTCTACCCCAGAGGCTGACGGCTGACCAGAAGTTGCACAGTGGTCCTTCTGTGGCAGAAGCAAACTCTGGGTGTAGGAGTGGCAGTGGTCAGAGTGGGAGGTGCAGCGTGGAGGCAGAGGGGCTAGAATTGTCCAGACAAAGAGGAAAAGGGTTTGGGGGGCCATGAGAAGAGTTAGGGGCTCAGCACTTCTCTAGACACAACTCAGTCTGGTAGCTGTGTGACAGACAGCAGGCGGTTTAAGCAATCGATGGGAAAAGGTAGAAAAGTGTCTAAAATATCCAGCAAGTACTGTTTCTGACTACCCACCAGCTGTGGGGTCAGTGTCTTAGTTACTGCTCTATTGCTGTGAAGAGACATCACAACCGAGGCAACCTACAGAAGAAAGCATTTGACTGGGGGCTTGCTTACAGCTTCAGAGGGTTAGTCATTGTCATCATGGGGGAACTTGGCAGGAATAATGCTGGAGAAACAGCTTGAGAGCTCACATCTGATTTTCTAGTTGCAGGCACAGAGAGAGAGAGAGAGAGAGAGAGAGAGAGAGAGAGAGAGAGAGAGAGAGAGAGAGAGAGAGAGAGAGAGAGAGAGAGAGAGAGAGAGACTCTGCCTGGGCTGGGCTTTTGAAACCTCAAAGCCCACCCCTAGTGGCACACCTCTTAATCCTTCCCCAAAAGTTCCACTAACTGGGGACCATGCATTCGGGGTCCATTTTTGTTCAGAACACTACACTGAGGATGGTTACCTCATATCACGTGGTACACAATGCCAGGCACTGGGAGACCAACAATGGCACTGTGCGCTAGGAGACCTGTCCTCAGTCAGTGTACCGTTTCAGCTCTCGCTTATATATGAACAGAAGGACCGTGTCTTACGTACTTGGGAGAAAGATAGCAGAGAACATGAGGTGCTTAAAATTGGGGCCAGGGCATCATTGAATACACATCCAGCCAGCAGGATTTCATTGGACAGTACCATGGCTGCTTGCAGCTGGAGATATTTATTGCTCACGAGAACGATTTAAAAAGGCATTTAGTAATGACTTATTTATCTTGCATGCTGACCTGGGTTGCTCAAAGTGTACTACTCTGATAAGCAATCACGTTCGTGAGCATAGGTATGAATAATTGCCCAGAGCCAACTGTACACTCTTAAAGGTTTTGTTGTTGCTTTTATTGTTTTGTTTTTGAGGTTGGTTCTCTTTATTTTGTAGATCTTGCTGTTCTTGAACTTGCTACATAGACCAGGCTGGCCTCCCAAGTGCTGGGATAAAAAGTGTGTACTGCCATGCCTGGATAATTTTTAATCCTATGAGTTTAATTTTGAAGAAGTAGACAATGCACACAGATCCTTGCTTGCTCTGATCATAAAACACTATGCACTGTGTCAGCTGTTTTTTCTTCTTGAGAAAACCAACTGAATTAAACCCAAAACTAAGGGGGAAAAAGGAGAGACAATTTATAGTGAAAACATTAAAGAACTAAGTGGATCCCAGTCTGAATTTTCAGAAGCACTATTTTCTTACTTACAGATTGGAAGAGCCCTGCTTTAGGCTGTCAAATTCTTTAGCTCCTTTGTTTTGTTCTGTGTTGATGTCTGGTTTTGTCACTCCACCAAGGTCACAGGGATGGTGAAGTTGCTTCACTGAGGTCCACCAAGAGCTCTGGCTCACACTTAGAGAGGCTGGCTGAGGGAAAGCACTGAAGTGGCCGTCACAAAACATTGACAGCCTGTTCCCTGCTCCCTGTGTCCAGGAGTCGGAGGAGCCTTAGAAAATGATGATCCGTCTAAGATGGTGATGGTTCTGGCTGCCACTAACTTCCCATGGGACATTGATGAAGCTCTTCGAAGGAGACTAGAAAAAAGGATCTATATCCCTCTCCCAACAGGTATGATGCTTCCTTTTACTGGATCTGGAACTTTCTGTCATTTCCTGTTAGCCCTTTTCAATTTATTTAAATCTCTGTCTCACTGTCACGTTGTTTGAAGAGCTCTGTGGCATTAGGGGACCAGTCTGAGTGACAGAAACAGAGCCTTTGCATTTCAGAGAAACCCTTAGCCTCAGAGCAGTATTTGTGCTGATAAGTTTGGTAGCATTCTAGTTCTTACTCCTAAAATTGGATTTCATTAACCCTAATTTAAATATTAAATTGTCTTGGGGACTTTCAAAAGTGATTTTCTCTTGAATGATGAAGTTTTTTTAAGCTATTTCATTTTTTCCTTTGAGATAAATATATATGTAGTTGAGAAGTGTATATCTCAAGTGTATTATGCTTGGTTCTTTTAAGTGTATCGTCACGTTCAGTTAGTGTAGTATCCTAGAAAGGATGTGGGAAATTCCTGTCACCCCAGAAGGTTTCTGGGTGCCCCAGCAGGTCATCTAAATTGCTATTGCATAAGCCATATGCCTGGTCCTCCATCACCACAGGCCAGTTTTCTCTCTTGCTAAGCGTTGTGTAAACAGTATGGTGACAGCATATAGTCAGTGTTTGGTGACTCTCGTCCTGCAGAAGTCTTTGAGATTTGCACATGTGAGTGTGCCTATCAGTGGTTTCTTCTCCATGTGATGATGCTACTGTGTGTTGAGTCCCCTCTGATGGGCATAAGAGTTGCTTCTAGTTTTTGGCTATTATGAGTAGAGCTTTAAGCCTTTTATATATTTTTGTGGATGACTGGTTTTGGGTCTTTGGGTAGTATGACTAGGATATGTTAGTCAGTCATAGGGGAGGTATATGTTTAACTTTATAAGACTGATGCTTTGCCCACATCAAACAAGGCACCTGTACTTAACTTTATAAGCAATACTCAAATTGTCTTCCTGAGTGGTTGTACGTATTATCTTGTCACTATCACCATCAGTAAATGGGAAGGGCAGTCTGCAGCCTTGCCTATAGCTGCTGTTGTCAGTGTTCCGTTTTATTTGCTCTGGTTGGTGTAAAATGGCATCTCATTGTGGTTAATCCGTGTTCCTATGATGACGTATATCTTGACCACCTTTTTGTGAACTTATGACTGTGTCCCCCATTTTATAATATTTAATGTTTTATTAATTAATGCTTTATATAAATTCTCTTTACCTACATTTTTATAACTTTTTCCTTCCAATTTGTGGTTTAGTTTTCAATTTTCTTAATGTTATTTCTTGGTAACCAGAGTATTTTAATTTGTGAAGACATTTTTCTAGTTTTTTGTTTTTGTTTTGTTTTTTATTAATAGGGCTTCCTGTATCTTAGAAAATACCTGCTTACCCCATGGCTGTAAAGCTTTCTTTGTTTACTTTTAGGAGCTATATTTAGCTTTGTGATTCTCCTTGAATTAATTGTATGCATGGTAGTGGAGTGGGATTTTATTTTTCCATGAGTATATTCAGTTCTAGTACCATTTGCTGAAAAGAATTGTCTCAATTTAATAAAAATCTTAAAAACTGACATCTTGCAGAGAATATTCCTGATAGTAATGGGATTGAATTAGGAACTAACAATAAGGCATTTAGACTATCTCCAATATTGTACTACTAAGCAAGTTAGCTCTGAATAACAGAAGGGCCAAAAAAATTGGAAAAATTGAAAATATTATCTTGGTAGAAAAAATATGTCACCCTAAATATTGTAATATGAAGCCAACATAGTGTTTTAAGGTCTGTAAATGCATACCTTGAAAAAGCCTTAAGTAGATAGTATTTTAGCCTTTGAAACATAAATTAGTTTAAATATATAGGGGAAATACATTAGAAAAATGTGAGATATGAAATAGGATGTTAACAAGGCAAACATTTGTTTATTATATTAATATTGACAAATCTCTAGAGGAATAATGAAGAACAACAGAGATAAGTTGCCAGTCTTAGGAATGAAGGAGTCACCACAACAGTTCTTAGAGACAGAAAGGAAATGAAGCAACTTAGTGGCAGTAGGGAATCTCCCAAATGCTCTTCATTGTGTACCTCTGGGTCAGTGTGGGTGAAATAGTCACAGCCGTTAGCATTTGGCCTAAAAAAGATGAAAGGTCTCTGCTTCTACTTTCAGAAAAGGAGAAAGTGAAACTCAAAAGAGTAAACTCTCCCTGCGCACAGTCTTGGGAGCAGTTTTCCTGGATGCCGAAGTGTTAGACATAGACACATGCTCCACTCTTCTCTTTCCTCCCAGGGGAAGTACCTGGACACTTTGTCTAGCCCTATGGAGCTGTGCAAGCTTTTATTCAAGGTGCCATAGGTTCCGGGGCTGCAGCAGTTGCAGAGTTGAGTTCCTGGCGGCCATCAGGCCAAGGGTGCCGATTCTTCTTCCTTTCTCTTGGAGCCTGAGCCAGCAGAGTCAAGTCCTTTGGCAGTGCTATGGAAGCTGGAATGTGAGGTGCATGCCTCCCTCTTCTCATTCCCTCCCGAGGGAAGCTACAAGTTGACCTTTTCCTCCTTGTCTCTGGGAGCCCTTAGCTTGGGGCAGAACTGACTGTAGAGCCAGGCGGCTTTTCTCACCCATTTCCACAAAGTTCACATTGTGAGCATTACCTGCTTCAGTGGCTTGCCAGCTGGTTCTGAGCCATGGTGAGGTTAAGACATTGTCTCCCCAGATTAGGAGGGACAGCATCTGGGGCCTCTTATTCCCTGTGCTGCTACTGCTGCCACTGAGCCTGTTCTTATGTGATGTCAGTTGTCATTCGTGTCATTGTCCCCTTGTATTTTGAGGGGTATCTTTCCCTCCCTGATTAATTCTTTGTTTTTAAACTCAGTTTTACTGAGGAATGACTTAGACACAATAAACTTTATCCACGTAAGACTCTGAGCTATGGCAGCTGTGTACCACCATGAGACCACACACCAAGAAGCAAGTCCACCTTTTCCTCCTGAAGAGGCTTCTGCCTCCCTTCTCCTCCCTGAGCTGATTTGCCATTTTTTTGTTTGTTTGTTTCATTGTATGGAATATCACAGACTTTCTCCATTCCCCATTGGTTGATATTAGACCATTCCTAGTTTAAGGCCATTGTGAATGAGGCTGCTATGAGCATTGATGGTTGTTTGTTTGTGTGGCAGATGTTCTAGTTTCTCCTGTATCAATGCTGAGAAGTGACATTAGTGACACATGTTTGGCTTTAGAAACAGGCTGGTCACTGACTTGCTTGTTGTTTTTAAGACGGTGCACTTTGTATTTTAGTAGTTCGCTGTAATGTGGGGTTTCCCTTTTTTCTTTATTATGCATGTGTGTTGGACATCTTGGTCCTACTGCAACCATCACTTGGGGTGCTATCCATTTCTTCTAACTCTTTTCCTGATAGGCTCCATCTACCTTTGTTTACCGAGCATTTCCTCTGCCATCTCTTTTCCTGTGAATTTTCATTTTAGGTCTGTTTTGCAAATCTTTAACATTTCCAGTTTTTAAATAGTTTCTGTTGTTTTGCTCGGATTCTTCAATGTTGTCTCATTCACTTTTGTCTCTCCTCCCCTTTAATTCTCAAATTCTTCCCCACACTGGCTGGTTGGTCTGTGTCTAGTAAGAGTGTGGCAGAAGTGATGCTAAGGTCTAAACCTAGGTCAGAAATAGGACAATTTCTGCCTGATTTTCTCCCTTGAGGGTCAGCAGCCATGACATGAGGAGCCAAGGGGAGCCCCCATGGGAACTGAAGACGTCTGCTAACCGCCACCATCTTACCAGTCATGGGAATGAGTTGCTTTTAGATGGACTGGTCTAGGCCTGTAGTACAATCTTATGAGATCCCTTCTGTCCTAGTTAACTTTAACTGTCAACTTGACACAGTCTAGAGTCACCTGAGAAGGGAGTCTTAATGGGTTGCCTATATCAGATTGGCCAGTGAGCCTGTCCATGGGGAATTGTCTTGATAATTAGTTGATGTAGGGGGTCCAGTCTCCTGTGGGTAGCCCCATCCTTATGCAGCTGGCCCTGGACCATATAAGAAAGCTAGCTAAGTGTGCATTTGTGAGCCCAAGCAGCTTCCTTCCGTATTTCTGCTGTACTTCCTCGGCTGTGAGTTTGCTGGTTGGACGTAATACTGCATGGGGTAACGAGCAGTCCTGCTTTCAGGTTCCTGCTTGAGTTCCTGCTCTGACTTTCCGCAGTGTTGGACTGTGACCTGGAAGCGTGAGCCAAAGAAACCTGTTTTTCTGATAGGTCACTTTTGGTTGGAATATTTTATCACAGCAACAGAAAAAAACTAGAGCATCCTCTGTTAGAGTTGTACCAAAAAAAAAAAAAAACCTATAGAGTACATCTGTCTGTCTGTGTGCTGGGGCATGGAGGGAGAGAGAAGACGAGAGGAAGAGAAGGAGAGGTAGTGATGGATGGAATAATTTCAGGGTGTGGCTTATGTAATCATAAGGCTGGTAGTCCACAGTGTGCCATGGTAGAGACCCAGGAAGAGCTGATGTCACAGGCAGTTATGCCAGAAAGCTGCCAGCCTCCAGGTTCCTTTCCTGGGAGAGGCCAACGTTTTAAGCTATATAGACCTTAAGTGATCAGGTGAGGCCCAGCCGCATTGTGGGCAGGTGGTCTGCTGTTCTCAAAGTCCACCAATTTAAATATTGAGCTCCAGAATAAAGTTGGACATAAGATTTGGGCACCATGTCCCAGCCAAGTTGAACAAATAAATTAGCCAGCTCAGACCCCCAGGCAGAACTTTCTAGAAGAGCTGTTTCTAGATTTGGAATCACAGAAACTATGGGACTAAGATGTTATTTTACACCTCTGAACTTTAATTTATTGCTTTCTCAGAAACAGATTGCCACTTCTCACTTTATGTTACTCATTGTAACTTCTCGACCTCCTGTTTCTATTGTCTGTTTTTCAGTTTTCTTGCTTTATCTGCATTTTCTGTTCATTAATATGTCTAGTGATTTATAGCATATGCTCTATATTGTAGGGAGTCTGGGTATTGCCTTCCTGTTAAGTGTGTTCCTGCAGGTACTCAGAGGCAAAACTCAGAAAAACCCATCCTGAAATTCTAGGGACTGGAAAGATGGCATCTTGAGAGGACCCAGGTTTGATTCCAGCACCAACATGGTGGCTCATAAACATTTGTAACTCAAGTCCCAGGGAATCCAGTGCCATCTTCTGGCTATGCAGGCACTGCATACGCAAGGTGCATAGCCACACAGGCAGGCAAACATCCGTACATGAAAATACTTGGCCTCATGATTTTGTCTGAGTGTATAGTTGTTTACCAGAGGAGGGTCTGATACCAGTTATTTCTCTGTGGCTAGAAAGGGAAGCCTTGCCTATGAATTTTGATACTGTATTTTATAATGTATTACTTGATCACTCTTGTGACTTGGCCTCCAGGCTATGTGACATAATTAATTGGTAGAATTTCAGCTCACAGGCCTTGCTTCATGTTACCTTTCCTGGCTGTCACTCTCTATTCTGTCACTTTTGATAACTAAGACTTAAAAAACATTTCTTTTTCGTACGGTGGTGCGCATTTGCTGGTTGAGCTCTGGTTGATCTTACCTACAGCAGTCGCTGACATGACTTCCCTTAGAGACTCGTTCTTCCTGCCCTGTCACACATGTCACACGCAGCTCTGCACTGGTGACTTGAACATGTTTGTCCCAAAGGCCTTCAGGCTCATTTTCATCTCTAGAACACTATGCCTGGAGGTGAAGATCCCGGGTTGTACCCTCTTTTCTTTTTTTCTGGAAAACTTCAAAAAATGCATGCCTGTTATCTTTCCACTGTAGCTACTCTTGTTGTCTTGTCTCCTCTCCTGTGCATGTGTGAACCACAACCCAGGGCAGAATCGTTTATTAGCATTCTCAGTTTATTCAAGAATTGGCAAGTCAGATACTCTTGTCACTACATCTAGGAAGGAAACAGGACATCCTCAGAACTCAGCAGCCCCACAGAGTGTCCCTGCTAGCACACTCCCTTCCGGATCCACTGCTAACCACTGTCATTCCTTTTATAGAAGTGATTTATTGTTTTTCCTTGTAATATTGTCACCTAATATATTTCCAAACAGCTTTATTTCTTTTGCCATTTTACATAGATTCAGTCACAAAACTGTGTCTATTTGTCTTGCTGCCTTTGCTCAATATGCTTTGGAGACTCCGTGTTACCACATACAAATGTAGTTCCTTCCTGGTGCCATGTGGTTGGTGTTCTACTGTGTTCAGTTTTTCCAGGGGCAAAACACCAACCACATGGCACTGTTGCAAACACCAAAACCTAGCTGCATTTAACAACAGAAATCAGCTCACTCATAACCGGGTAAGTCACAAAGTCCAAGATGAAGGTGTAATGGAACCCAGGTGTGTTGCATATGGAGATCTTCCAGATGTGAATGCTGGGGATACAGAAAAGTGTTATTTGCCATGAAGAATGGAGAAGAGGAAGCTTTGTGTGCAGCCAGCTTCTCCACCACAGAGAGATGGATCAGGATGCAGGGAAGGAGTGATGAAGGGGTGAGGACCATCCACACTCCTTCCAGGAGCACAGATTCCACCTTCCCTCATTCCTGTGGTGGGCAGCGTGGCTAGTAGGTGACTTTACCTTGAAGGGGGTGAGAGACTAGGCACATCTCCATCAGATTAACCCTGAGTTATAGTTCTGAACAAAATAGTTTTCTAATAACCTGTCCATGTGCAAGGTGAGTGGAATCTGCCCAGAGGATAGGACAGCCAGGAGGATGGATACAGGATGAAGGCAAAGATGCCAGGCCTTCTCATCCTGTTCTGGTCATGGGCATCTGCGGACCCAGGGCAAGACATTTCCTTCCAAAGTGACTGTCAAGTCTCTAGGAGAGGAGCTGAAGCCACTGTCACCAGCCGCGCAGTGGCACAGGTGCTCTCTAGCAAGGCTGCTGGGGAAGTCATGACTGGTGTTGTCCCAACTGTGTTTCCCCAGAGTTAATACTGCTTAGTCACCTGAGCAAGTGAGGAGACAGGGTTTTGATTCTTAGAACCAGGCTGTGTAGACATCTTTCACTCTGAGGCCCCTCTCTTTGCCTGCTAGATGCCATCTTCCTTTGTTGTCAACACATGACCTTCCTCCTGAATATGTCTGTGTCCTAGTCTTTTAATATGAACATCAGTTATATTGGATTAGGACAGACTCATGTGACCTCATTGTATCTTTTTAAAAGCCTCTGTCACCAGGTGCAGTCACATTCCAAAGGACTTGGAATTAGGGCTTCAGCATAAGAATGTTTGGGGATGTGGTTCTTGTGATAACAGGAGTCCCTAGTTCAAGTGTTATCCTCAGGGTTAGCTTTTCCTTCATTCTGTTGTGTGTGGCATGTATGTGTGCATGTACCACATGCATGGGGACACATGTGTAAGTGCTGTGCATGTGTCTCTGGAGGTCAGAGGTCAGTGTTGGGTATCTTCTTCTGTCACTTTTCCTTAGTTTTTGAGACAGGCTCTCTCACAACCTGGAGTTCATTGACTGAATAGACTGGATGGCCAATGAGCCTTCAGCATCCCTGGTTCTGTCTCCTTCCTCCAGCATCCCTGGTTCTGCCTCCTTCCTTCAGCATCCCTGGTTCTGCCTCCTGTCTTCAGCATCCCTGGTTCTGCCTCCTGTCTCCAGCATCTCTGGTCCTCCCTTCCAGCACAGGGATCACAGGCTTATGCAGTCACGCACAAATTTTGATGTGTGTGCTAGGGATCCAAACTCAGGTCCCGATGATTTCATGGCAAGCAGTTTACCTGTTGAGCCATCTCTCTGGTTCCAGTACTCCTCTTTAAAAATATGTATTTTGAGAATTCTCCCTAAGATCATTAACTACTTTCCTAGTCATTTTCTAAAATGCATATAATTTTACATTTATTTTACTTGCAATGTATTGGCACTGATTTTTGTGTATAGAATAAGGGAAAACTGGATCTCATTTTCCCTGAGGATAGGTTTACATTTTCTCATTACCTGAACCACCTGTTATAACCTGGAGTCTAGAGTCTACACCACTCCTGTTTCTGTCCATTGACATGTTTGTATCCACAGAGTGTCCCACTGGCAGTACCCAGTTGCTTTGCAGGCCATATTATAAATTGTTAGCAGTCATTCTTCCCACCTTGCTGTTTTTCTAGAACATCTTGGTTGTTCTTGGTTCTTTCCATATGCACGAGCATTTTAGAATCTGCCATCAGGATCTATAAACAGACCTCTTCAGATGTTCATGGAAGTGATTTGGTGTTAGGAATTGGGGGAAGAATTGTGCCATGAAGGATAAAACTAATAGAAACTAACTTTAATGGGAGACAATGATGAGATACGGTGTGATTGCAGGATGTGATGGGTTAGAAGCCATGAGGCCCGGGCTAACAGGGATATTGCACCTTAAATTGTATTTCAGGTACTACTTAGGTGCCACTATTGTATTGCCTAATAATAGTGTAACTATGGATGTGTCTTTGTTCTCAGGAGATGCATGCTCATGACCGTGTGGGTGTAATGTTACCTGCAGCCGGCTTTCTCTCAGTTCACAAGTGTGTGTGCACAGAAGAAGTAGGGAGCTAGGGTTGTACCATTGGCAACCAGTGAATTTGGAGGAGAAGTAAAGGTTTTTTTCCTGTATATTTAAATTTTTTCAAAATAACAGTTGAGAAAAATTAAATTTATTTTGTATCTTAGGAAGCAGAGACCAAGGAAAACATGTTATGGTCTGTCATAGGGTCTTGTTCAGGCAGGTCTACCACAGACTGCAGCTGTGAAATCCAAGTTGCTCAATAGAGCCCCATCTGCACCAGCACTGGGAGGAAGCCATGCTGGCAGCAATTGGCTTTGGACTAAGTAGAAACGTCACTACTGAGCCATTTGTGCTCACTACTGAGTCTTAGGAGCTTTTCCAAACCACTGATGAGAATTCTATAAATCTGTCATCCTAACATGTGAGCTGAGTTACTTATAGGAGGTATACTCCATCTAGTCTCATTTGATAAAGTAAGCCAAACGATATTCCAATTTTAAAATTAATTTTATGTGTATAGGTATCTTGCCAGCAGGTATTATGCCATATCATGCAATGCCTATGGAGGCCAGAATATGGTGTCAGATCTTCTGGAAGTGGAGTTACAGACTGTGTGAGCCCCATGTGGGTGCTGGGAACTGAATCCAGGTCCTCTGCAAGAGCAGCCAGTGCCCACCCCCTGGTGTTTTATGTAGCAGCATTCTGGTGTTTGAAAACAGTGTTTCTCTTTGGTTCTCATAGCAGGCCTTGCATATACAAGGAGAATGGAATCACTTCTGTTTTCAGTGACCACATATAGAAAGGAGAATGCCTCTGCATTGGGTAGCAAATCAGAAGCACTGGGGCACTTGCCATCTTTGGCTCTTTTTCACATTGCTCTCTGAGAGTGGATTTTAGATGGGATTCCTCAGCAAAATGGTCTGTAGATTTAACAAGACATTTCATCTTCTGACAGCAAAGGGAAGAGCCGAGCTTCTGAAGATCAGCCTTCGGGAGGTGGAGCTGGACCCCGACATCCGCCTGGAGGACATCGCCGACAAGATTGAGGGCTATTCTGGTGCCGACATAACTAACGTCTGCAGGTGTGTCTTTGTGACTCTAGTTTTAGTTTTGTAGGATGACTAGCCTTAAGGTCAGCCCCAACCCCGAAGGTGGCAACCCAGTTCCTTGATAAGCTTTCCCACTGCTGCTCTTTTTCCTTCTTTTCAACTAGCTTCACTTTCTTTTAAAAATATTTAGTTTTTGAGGCTATAATATAATTACATCATTCTTTCTCTTTTCTTCCATCAATGACTGCCTAAACATGAAGCATACAAAGTAGACATGCTGACATGGAAATGGCCAAGCTCAGGAGGCCTCAACCCTAGACAAGCAACTGTAGGCAACTAAAGAATGCTAAGAGCAGGAGAAATAGTCTCCCCAGGGAGGAGCACACCAATGAGTTATCCAGTGCCAAATGGGCAGCCCTGAAAACATACACACACGTAACATTATACAGACGTTTTTCCCTTAACACACACCTTCGTCAGCTGTTAGACAAGTACATAGTATGATCATTTTTGTTTTCTGTTGCCCAGACTGTAAATTCATAGACCCATGCCTCTGTCTCAGGAATGCCAGGATTATAGACTCTCACTTAGGGTTTTGGGCTTCTTTTCTTATGATTCTGGACAGCGAACACAGGGGCTTGCATGTGCTAGGCAAGTGCTCTCCCAGTGAGCTCTATCCCCATTCCTCACTTAGAGTTTGGATTGTTCTAGGAACGTCGTGTCTTACTTGGCAACAATAGCTGAGCAGCCTCTGACTGATTAACTTTAGGCTGGAGCCCAGCTATATGGATGGAAGCAATATTGTGCAGCTTTATTGGGCAAATGTGGACCACATGTGAGTGAAGAAGTTGATCAGTTTCGTCAGTGGAGGAAACACACGTTTTCTTGTCTTTCCCGATGAAGAGAATTTTTAGTTCTTATATGGAGAAGTCTGCACAGTTGGTCTCGGCAGCTTTCTCTGAAAGCTTTGGCCTCTGTTTTCCTCATGTTGTATGCTAGTGTTTTTCAGGTGTGTCTGAGTCCAAAGGTCTCACACCCAATACAGTCTTCACAGTCTCTAGTAAAAAACACTGGCAACCCTGAAGGTGTGGCTGGCTTGCCCTCCCAAGTAGGTTTTGATGAGAACTTGGCCATTTCTTCTAAACCTTGTATTTGTTTCTAGTTGGACAAATGGGATTGAATGAAGTCAGGAGACGCCTGTGTTTATGCTGTTGGCTTCCACAAACATCCCATGTGGGGAACTTTCTCCAGTGTATGGATAGGCTCATGCTCCTGCCTTCTACTACCGCTGCTTGAGCTGTGGACTGAATATGTGGCTTGAATTATTTTAACATTAGCCATATGCTCATTCCAAGTATGCAGTTTGTATTCCAAAATTTGTCTTCATCTTCATAAACTTCCTGCTGTTTCTGAGGCACTGAGAAGAAAAGAAAACTTAGTGCTAGCTGAGTTTTCTCCAGGCTTCTGTGATAAAGGGTACTTCTCCAGTCTACTTCCTATCGTGTGTACGTGTGTGTGTGTGTGTGTGTGTGTGTATGAGTGAGTGTGTGAGTGAGTGTGTGTGAGTGAGTGTGTGTGAATGTGAGTGTGTGTGTGTGAGTGAATGTGAGTGTGTGTGAGTGAATGTGAGTGTGTGAGTGTGTGAGTGAGTGTGTGAGTGAATGTGTGTATGAGTGAGTGTGTGAGTGAATGTGAGTGTGTGTGAATGAGTTTGTGTGAGTGTGTGTGTGAATGTGAGTGTGTGTGTGAGTGAATGTGAGTGTGTGTGAGTGAATGTGAGTGTGTGAGTGAGTGTGTGAGTGAGTGTGTGAGTGAATGTGTGTATGAGTGAGTGTGTGAGTGAATGTGAGTGTGTGTGAAGAGTTTGTGTGAGTGTGTGTGAATGTGAGTGTGTGTGAGTGAGTGTGTGAATGAGTGTGTGAGTGAGTGTGAGTGAGTGTGTGAGTGAATGTGTGAGTGAATGTGAGGGTATGTGAGTGAATGTGAGCATGTGTGAGTGAGTGTGTGAGTGAATGTGAGTGTGTGAGTGTGTGAGTAAATGTGAGTGTGTGTGAGTGAATGAGTGTGAGTGAGTGTGTGAGTGAATGTGAGCATGTGTGAGTGAATGTGAGTGTGTGAGTGAGTGTGTGAGTGAATGTGAGTGTGTGAGTGTGTGAGTGAATGTGAGTGTGAGTGAGTGTGTGTGAGTGAATGTGAGTGTGTGTGAGTGAATGTGAGTGTATGAGGGAGTGTGTGAGTGAATGTGAGTGTGTGTGAGTGAATGTGAGTGTATGAGGGAGTGTGTGAGTGAATGTGAGTGTGTGAGTGAGTGTGTGAGTGAATGTGAGTGTGTGAGTGAATGTGAGCATGTGTGAGTGAATGTGAGTGTGTGAGTGAGTGTGTGAGTGAATGTGAGTGTGAGTGAATGTGTGAGTGAATGTGAGCATGTGTGAGTGAATGTGAGTGTGTGTGAGTGAGTGTGTGAATGAGTGTGTGAGTGAGTGTGTGAGTGAATGTGTGTATGAGTGAGTGTGTGAGTGAATGTGAGTGTGTGTGTGTGAATGAGTTTGTGTGAGTGTGTGTATGAATGTGAGTGAGTGTGAGTGAGTGTGTGAGTGAGTGTGTGAGTGAATGTGAGGGTGTGTGAGTGAATGTGAGCATGTGTGAGTGAGTGTGTGAGTGAATGTGAGTGTGTATGAGTGAGTGTGTGAGTGAATGTGAGTGTGTGAGTGTGTGAATGAGTTTGTGTGAGTGTGTGTGTGAGTGAGTGTGTGTGTGTGAATGTGCATGCATGCAGGTGCATGGATGTGTCCAGATACCTGTGCACCTGTGTGTGCATGCACATGGAGCTCAGAGATCAGTCTTGGGTGTTGTTTCTCAGGTGCTGGCCACCTGGCTTTCTTTGTATAGTATATATGGATGGCTTCCTTCCTTCCTTCCTTTCTTTCTTGCAGGGTCTCACTGTATTTCTCTAGCTGGCTGTGTAAACCAGGCTAGCTCCAAATTCATAAAAGTCTGCCTGCCTCTGCCTTCTGGTTACTGGGGCTAAATGTATGCACCACCACACCTGGCCTCCCCCGGTTTTGGAGATAGGGTCTCTCAATGGCCTGAGGCTCGCCAAGTAGGCTAGGCTAGCCAGCCAACAAGCCCTATGGAATTCTGCTTCTACCTTCCCAGCATGAGGATTACAAGCACGTGGCAATGTACCCAGCATTTTGGGGGATGGGTGGGAATTGAACCCCTTATCCTCGGCTTACATAGGCAGCACTATTCCAACCAAGCCATCTCTCAGCTCTTGCATCTGTTTTTGACTTCTGAAATGTTAGGATGAAGTGTGAGCTTCTGAGTGGTATCATGAGAGCACATATAACCAGCCCTTAGGATGTTTTCATAACTTTGTAATAGCTAGAAGTGCTGAGCGCACACGCAGGTGTGGCTGCTGACTGCCCTGCCTGATTCCAGGGACGCATCGTTGATGGCAATGAGACGGCGCATCAGTGGCCTGAGTCCAGAAGAGATCAGGGCTCTGTCCAAGGAGGAGCTGCAGATGCCTGTCACCAGAGGGGACTTTGAGCTGGCGCTGAAGAAGATCGCCAAGTCAGTCTCTGCCGCGGACTTGGAGAAGTATGAGAAGTGGATGGTTGAGTTTGGATCTGCGTGATTTCTGTCAGCTCTTTTCATTTCTGTTGTTTGTGCCTATAAAATGGGAAGAAATTCCTTAAATTTAAAAAATCTGCAATTCTTAATCAGAGAAAATTTCACTTAAAGGCCAAAGCAAAACAAAAACATCTAGAGCGACAGAGAAACGCAGCTGAGAAATGAGACACCCATAGTCTGCTGACTTCTCACTGACAAACCTTCTCAAGTCACAGAACACGCCAGCCAGTGGGCGGGGCTGTGCTGCAGGCCGTGCTTATAGAGCATTGCAGTTTCTGCTCTCACTTGAACACGTTGTCTGTTTCCCCCAACTCTGTGTTCTCTGGCCACAAAGAACACACACACACACACACACACACATACACACACACACACACTTTTTAGCAGCAAAACTTGGTTTCTGTCGAATTCATTAATTGTCATTTTGAGAATGATAGTAAATTCTCAAGGGAATAATGAATTGTAAATCTGTAGAATTTAATACCGTTAGAGTCTAATCTGTAGTTAGAATTTTTCTCCTCTTCCTTGCCAGTTCTTCTGTTAGCTGCTGGCTTATGTCTATCCAGGAGTAGTCTGTGATCTGTTTTCCCCGGGATAGTGCCTCTCTAACTTCATTTGGGAAGATGGGAAGAATTGTTGTTAGCAGCACACCTATATCTTCCTGTTCAGAGTGCTCACTTTTCTTTCAATATGTTCAAATCAATATAACTATTGTTTTTTCCCACTTTTGACACTAATTGCTTTTTCGTTAAATTTGACTTTAGTGTTTAAGATAAGTTCTAAACAAGTCTAGTCTCTAGGCTAATGTAAAACAAACATTTTTCCCCCTTCAGTACATGAGTATTTTGCCAGCACATATGTCTGTGTATCACATGCATTGTAGTTCCTGAGAAGACCATAAGAGGGCATTGGATCCCCTGGAATTGCAGTTACAGGCGATTGTGACTCACCATAGGGATGCTGGGAACAGAACTCAGGTCCTCCTCAAGACCACTCAGTGCACCTAATAGCTGAACCGTATCCCCAGTTCCAGAAATAAAATCTCTTATGGTTCTCAGACAGCTTGTTTAGCAAAACAGTATCCTAACAGTGAATAATATTCATTTAAAAAGTAGAAAGTTTTCCTTCTAAGAACTTGTGTATGCAATGTGATTAGAATAGAAATGTGGACATGCTCATTAGATGTGGAATTAGAGAGTGGGAGGGCTCTCAGAAAGGGAGCTGCAGATCCAGTCATAAGCCCTGGGCCATGTTACTTCTCTGTAATTATGCCTATCCCTTTGGTCATCAGGCAGTCCATAGTGTGCTTGTGATAATATCCTGAAGTCTTGAGTCTCAAGCTTATTTTTAAACCATATACATCTTACAGGCACTTTTAACTTTTAAAAAACTCTTAGTATGTTGATTAAGATATTTGACCTTTTTTCCTCAGGCAAACCCGTAACTGCATTAAATCCTTTTTAGGGACCATATATCTGACTCTTTGAAATCCTGGATTCATCTGATTTCTATAATTACCCTCTTTCTTCTGAGAAACCTATTATAAAATTTCAAATCAAAAAACATGATTTTATTGTAATGGGAATAATTCTTGAAAAATTAGAATGAGAAACTAATGAGCAAACTTGCATTTACTTGTTTATTTTGAGGAAGGGGCTTACTTGGTTGCCTGAGCTGGTCTTCAGCTCTTAGGCTTAGGCGATCTTCCTGTTTCAGCTTCCTGAGTAGCTGCAACTCAAGGCTTCACCCCCAGATTACTTATAAACATTTAAAATAAACTACTATGGCTAAGGCAGGAGGATTGCTAGGAAATGGGTACAACCCACATGCCCTCCAAAGGATGAGCGGGTAAGGAAAACAGGGTATATCCTATGACTTCCACGGCCGCAGGCACACACACACACACACATACACACACACACACACACACACACACACACACACAGTCTGAAGCCTGCCTGTGTAGCATATCAGGTACCATCGCAACAAACAAACAAAAATAAATAATCCCACTAGATTCTCTTGCAAACCGTCACCATCTAATAGTGTTATACTTAAAACACAAACAAACAAAAAACAAAAACAACTTCTCTGTAACACTATGGCTCAGTAGACTTTTTCTGGATTTTGCATTACTTATCTTTGCATAAATCATGGAAATTCTGCATGGCAATTGTGCGTCTATCCTAGGTTAGGTGTTATTTGCTGCAGCCTTGTTAGGAGAGTCAGCTGTGCTCCCTGCAGCCTCCTTTCTCATTTTGCTGTCAGTGGGTGGCAAGGCTTTGCATGTCTTAAGTCCTCGGAAGGCTCTGGAAGAGACCTGTTGCCCAGCCCAGAGTGGGGATTGCTTTGTTGGCTTTTGAGTTGTAAAGCAGGTGTGTCATCACAGTAGAAGTGGTTGATTCTCACTCCTTTGAAAGCAGGAGCATTTGGAGCTGCAACGCAGTGACCAGTGTGAGTGTAGTTGTTTCACAGGAGCGCCATAGATAGTCCTTCCTGGGCACACTGCTCTGTTCACTGTCGTGAATGGACGCTGGATGGAGGCTGCCTGGCTTGTGTGGCTGTCAGTCAGTGAAGCTCTGACTGGGCATTCTCTTCAGTAGCTGTCGCTCCTGGCCTCTGCTGCTAAAGCGTGAGTTTAGCTCATGAGTGGAGAGACATAGTGATCTATGTGTTTGGGGAAAAATATAGAAAAAGCTTTTTCCCTCTCCTTTTTTACCTTTGACTGGTTTTAAAATAAGAAGTTTTAAGCAGTATAAAGCTACTGAAGATCTATTCTAATGCGCCCATCTTTATGTTTCCATGCCACAGTTACACATGTGATATGACCAGATGTGCACATGCAATGTGTTTACTGTAAATGTTTTGTTTCCATAATTCGTTCTTTTAAAGAAAATAAATTAATATTGGTGAAATATCCCAGACACATGGCTCGGGAAGCTGCAGCCTTTTGTTGCCCAGCTTGGAAACCCAGTGACATCACAGCTCTTTCAGTAGTGACCTAGACACACTGGGTAGTGAGTAGTGACTCAGACCCTGCCAGGGCCCCCTACCGTGGGCCTCACAGGAGCACCTGTGTGACAGTTTATTCACATAGCTGTTTAACTTCTAGAGAGCTCCAAGAGTGGAGGGTGGTGAACCCAGTAGCCAGAAGAGGGCTGGCAAGTGCCTGGGCTCCAGGATGAGCAGCTGTCCAGAAAGGTGCATGCAAGGCCAGTTTCCAGTATTAACTGTTGCTCATTTCTCCTTCTGTGTGAAATGACTCTGCGGGGATCATTGTCTCCTTAGGTCTTAGCTATCTGAGTTCATGAGCCTTCCTTCCTTGAATACATTGCAGGGTGCCAACCCTGCTCAAGTGCAGGCCAGTTGACCTCCTCCCACTTGAGATAGAAGTGAAGAGCTAGACTAGGCTTTGCATGGTGGGTCCAGCTTTGGCCTCCGTGGTGCAGTCTTCTTCAGTTTTTTTTATAATAGTACATTTCCACTGTTATGAAATACAGTCACACTATGGTATGCCCTGTGCTTTGGGATAAAATGTTAGGTGGAACTCGGCCTCTCCAAAGAAAAGGTCATTTAATTCTAAGTATGAGACAGAAATAGGAATACTCCAACTTTTTTGTATCTTTGTTTTGTTTCTTAATGCTTTGAATGTATAATATTTTAAATTTGTGATACATATAATATTTATGTGACTCTTGGAGTCCATCACAACAGAAGCAAATAGGACGAAGTAGAAGGACATATCAGGATAAACTATAAACCTCACGTGATTAATTCTCATTTCCACTAATTATTTTGTAGTTTGTTTTAATTACTACATGTTTACTTATTTATACTTTTAATTTAGGCTTTTCATACTTATTTATTTAATTTTTGGACCATTTGCTTTTGATATTGTTTCTTAATGTGGAAACTGAGTATTTAAAAAATTAAATCTGATAATAATATATTTTTACACATTTACTTAGTAGTAATTCTTTGAATTTTTACTAGTTGTTTTTCCTCTGAAAACTCTAGTTTTGATGATATTTCTCATTTCAGGTGCCTTGTTGATAAGCACATATTAAGATGATGCTACAAAATCGTTTTTGCTTTGCTTTTCTCAGACCTTGGGAAAACTGAAAACAAAAACTAAAACCTGAACATTGGCTTCTCACTAGTGGTATGGGGTTGGTACCTTTGGTACCACAAATGGGAGATTGCTGCAGGGACATCTGCCTTGAATGGGTGAACAAAAAGCAGGCTCTCTCTCCCTGCACTCAGTGAGCTGAGCAGGCATCGCCTGCCCTCAGGAGAGAGCCAAGAACCTCAGGCATTCAGTCTGCATCTCTGTAGGTCTGTTTTTCCAGGCATCACTTTCTCTGCTGCTCTGGCCTCTTCCTATCAACATCAAGTTTTTAAACTAGAATTTTAAAAGTTATATTATTATTATTATTATTAATTTATTTTTTATTTTGAGGGAGGGTCTTACCATTAACCCTGGCTGTCCTGGAACCACAATATAGACCAGGCTGGCTTTGGACTCACAGAGACCCACCTGCCTCTGCCTCCTGAGTACTTGGATTAAAGGCATGCGCCACATACCCAGCTAAACTTGAATTTTGTTTTTAAACACATTTTGCCATTCCTCCTCTGGCAAAGCCAGATTCTTCAAATGACCCTACGTGAAGGATGGAAGTTGCTTTTCCCCTTATGTAGCCAGCCTTTTTATTTGAATGTGTTTCATCCCATGGAGCAGATTCACACATAACCCATATTCTCCTAGCTTCTCAGAGTTCTGCAAATACAAATCCACATTAATGGTATTAAACATTTTGGAGCTGAGCAGTCGCTCTGTCCACCCTCTGAGAACCTAAGTACTTTAGGAAAACACTCTTGTTCATGTGGCTGCATGGCTGCTGAGCGTTGTCCTTGGTGGCCACTCTGTGGACACAGTGTCTCGTGGGACCCCTACATATTAGAATGGTTTGTAGGTGTGCTGCGAAGATTTTTGTTCCAGTGTTTGTCATCCAGTATTTGAAACTAATTCAACTAAAAACAGATTTCTAAGTTGTATCTGTTAAATGTTGTTTCCTCTCACTTTTCACAGTGCTGTTTGCTAGTCTCAAGCCTTGTTGTGTTTGTATGTAAGTTGTGATGTAGTAAAACAGTTCTGGAGAGTTGACTGTTGGTGGCTTCTCATGTGGCTTGGCTTTCATATGTAGTGACATGTGCTTCTTGTTACTTCAGGAGCAACATGCCCCTCACTAGCTGGCAATGACCCTTCTCATGAAATCTCATATTGGCAACTTGGTATTTTGTTTTCTGTACAATATGCTAATAATTTTAAGGTTGATGTGGTAATTGTATAGTTTTCCAATTAATTATTTTAATAAATATTTATGTGATACTATTGCATAATTGATGTTCTGTATGGTGAATTTTCCAGATCATGAGTCTTATTTGATGACCCCAGAAGTCATTTCTTGAATTATCAAACTTTATTTTTTAGAGAACGTTAGGAAAACAGGCGCAGAAATGGTTCTTGTAGTTCCCACACTCCCTCACCAATACCCCCATCTTCATTAGCATGTTGCATTGGCGTGGTCCAGGTGCTCTTGTATGAAAGTCCATAGCTTGCAGTGGACTTCAGTCTGCACCGGGTTGCGGATTTCGACAAGAGCACAGCGCATGTACTACCATAACTGTTTCATGGAAATCACTGCCCTGCCCTGGAAATCCCACGAGCCACCGGCTGTTTCTCTTCCCACCCCCTCCAGCCATTCTCTTTTGTCTTTGTAGTTCAGATCTCAGTCTAGTTGGATGAGAACATGTAGCTTTCCAGACTTCTGTGCATTGTCCAGGGAGCAGCTGCACATATAACTCTGTGTATATGCTGCCTACTGAAAGATCTCTCAGTGGCTTCTAACTTAGCAATTATGAATAAAATGGCTACAAACCATGCTTGCATATCTACACTGTTCATGTATGGCGTTTTATGTAAATTTGTAAGAAACTACACCATTGTCTTCCTGTGTGGCCAAGGCCATCTTGCATTTGTCCTAGCAGAGAATGTGCCTTCCCCTTGCTCCACACCCTTACCAGCGTTTGGTGGTGGCAGTTGTTTGGATTTCATCATTTTGGTAAGTGTGTAATAGCTGCTTTCATTTGCTTGTTCCTAATGGCAACTGACTTTGGGCATCTTCTCATATGCTCATTAATTTTAAAACTATTTTTTATGTGTGGAGTTTTACCTGGAATTATGTATGGTATTACATTCATACGGTGCCTGCAGAGGCCAGAAGAGGGTGTTGGATTCCCCTGGAACTGGAGATACAGATGGTTGTGAGCCACCATGTTGGTGCTGAGAACTGAAAACTGGGTCCTCTGGAAGAGCAGCCAAGGGTCTTAACGGCTGAGCCATCTCTCCAGCCCCTGCCCATTAATTTTAATGAGATGTAATTGGAGCCTAGCCATATCCCACGGTTGCCCTGGGTTCTTAAGTGAGAGATTTAATTTGTCCTTTTCTCTGTGGCACAGAATTATGGGCTCCAAGCACCTCTTTGGCGTTTGTTTTTCAGTATTCCTTCTGATCTGTATCACATTAATGGCCTGTCTTTCCTGCTGAGAATCATGGGAAATGAGGACGAGCTGTCTGGGGATGGGGAGGAGTAAAGCTCTGGTGTGAACTGTGTTGTGTCACTTCTCTGGGTTCTCTGTGATTCTGACTGATGGTTAGTGTTGACCAGCATCCTGACAGGATCTGCAGTCACCCAGGAGACAAGCCTCTGGCATACCTGTGAGGAATTATCGAGATTAAGGTTAGCCTCTGCGAAAGTGGGAGACATTGTCTTGATTATGTCAGTTGGTGTGGGAGGATGTATCTTAGCTGTGGGCTGGAAGTTCCCTGGCTGGGATCCTGGGCTGTGTCAGATGGAGACAGTGAGGGGAGCACTAGAAGGCTGTGGATACCACGTGACCAGTTGCTTGATGCCCTTGCCACTTTGACTTGCCACCACGATGAGCTGTAAGCCAGAATAAACCTTTCTCAGTGAAGTGACTTTTGTCAGTATTTTTATCTAAGCCACAGAAGAGAGCTAAGACTTGGTTCCCAGAAGTGCTCTGGGTGGAGCAAGTGTGAAGCTGGGTTTTACACATAGCTGTGTCGCTACAATGGGCCATATTTACAGCTTAGAAGATACCTGAAAACACTTCTGTGGTTCCAATTGTCTTTGTTCTTGCTTTTTTTTAACTTCTGTGACAACAAGTGCAGTTTTGTCCTTCTGAGTTGTACACAGGAAAGAGTTAGGTAAGTGGTACCAGACTAGCAGAGGGAGGCCAGGGAGGGCCAGGCTGTCTCACTCTGCCCCACTAGTCCAGGGCTGACGGTCAGTGCGACCTGGGGTTGTGAGGTGGGTTGGGGTAGAGCATTGCTGGGGGTTTCCTCAGAGAAAGCATGAGTTAATCAAGAAACTGAGAAAACTGAGCATTGCCTGGTCCTCCTGTCCCCTACACTATTTCCTTTCCAGTAAACACACAGAGGAACGGGGGCCCCTGTCGCACCTGGCTGGTTCCAGATCTCTCCACAGCCCTTGCTCCTACTGCACCCACACAGGTGCGAGAGGGAGCGGTTACCTTGTCCTCTGTAGAGTCTCTTCCCTAATCTTACCTTTCCTGACAATTGCCTTCCATGTATACGATGAGTGACTCACCATCACCCAGAGCTGCAATCAAGAGCCAGTGACGGTCCGACATCTCTCTTTGGGGTAAGACTTGGCCAGAGATTTTAAAGATCTTCTGATGTAGGAACCTCTGCCTGTGCATTTCTCACCGTGAGGGTGCTGCTAAAGGCGGTTAGCAAGTCAGCGAGCCAGAGAGCAGAACATTTGTTACATGCACAGCTTGAGACCCTTATCCAAATGCTGGGGCCAGAAGTGCTTAAGTCAGGCGTCTTTGGGACTCGGGTATGTTTGTGGACAGATTCTATCTTTTCTACATATTTTATAGATGAAGCCTGAAGGTGAGCTTACACCTTATAGTCCTTTTACTACACCTTTATTTTGGCTGTGCCCCGTCACAAGGCTGATGTGGTGGCCTCCACCTGTGGCATCTTGTCTTAACATTCTGATTCTGCAGCATTTTGTATTGAGAAGCCCAGCTGATTCGTTCAGGATGACAATAGTTAAGAAATACAAAACACTGGCCTTAAAGAACTGAAGAGGACATTTGCAATGCCGAGGATAATTCAGGTACATTTATTGTCACCAGAATTCTACTCGGCTATCTACAAAAGAGGAGGCAGGCTGTAGAACGACCTGTTGCAGTACACGGCTCTTATACAGAAGGATGGGAACCTGGCCCTAGCTCAGGTTACTCTCAGCAAAGCTAAATAGACACAAAAGTCACTCACCAGATTTTCCCTGCTTTCTGAGGTTCTTAACCGCTCACCTTCTCAACCGGCAGGGCTCTTTTACCAGGACTTTTTTAGAAGACTTGTCATAACACATCCTGTTGCTTTGTATGTTAGTGACAGGAATGGGAAAAGCAGGCTCTCAGTGCCATGAGACATAAATGCACCCAGGGCTGTTGCTGCCACTTGCTGCATCCGAGTGCAGGTGTATGTTTGTTTTTCAGTGCAAGGCTTTATGCAGGAAACTAAGCATCCTGAGAGTTTCAAAGAACTGCATTTCGAGCATCGTGTAAGTGGCGTGGCTTCTCAACAGTTGCACTCATTTCTCAGCCTCATTCTCCTGCTGTATGTGTGGTTGTTAGCTACCGGGCGCCATGGAAGCTCCACTCCTCAGTGGGGTTTCACGCCGAATGCTTCAGATGTCTCTCAGTTAGCACATCTTCAATAATTTCTTACACGAATAGCTAACCACAGTATGACTACTCTTCTATAATGGAGATCTTGGGCTGGAGCACTCGCACGTCTTATGTAGCTAGGGGTGGATGAACTATTTTGCCCCAGCTGAGGTTTGCCAGCTACCTTGGGCTGTTTTTCAAGCATTTTGAAATCTATTTTGTAACACTTCTCAGACACACGTTACAAACACATTCCCTCTAGTGTTTAAGCTCTCGTGCATCTTTAGGGAAATATAACCCATATGTTTCTCATTCATTTTGCACTTAACTCATCAAAGTTGTTTTTTAAGAGCAGTTTGTTTTCTAAGAAGTCATAAGAACCCTTCTCATGAATTCTGTTGGCCTTTAAAAGCCTTCTCCTTAATCATAACTTTTCCTCCCATGATGGTTGTGGATAAAGTGTTTTAGTTCAGTTCGAGCTACAGAGCTTGAAATCTAAGCTAGCCCTGGATTGTTGACAATGAATTTGTCTGATTTCACAGTGAGAACTGGCTTCACTCATTGCTTCTCAAAGCAAATACCAGCAAAGGTTTACAACATTGCTTGTGAAGGCACAGAACACACACTGCCTGTCACACTCAGCAGAAGTGAACTGTTCAAGCACATTACCTGAATGAGTAACTGTCATTCACACTGGTAGTATGTTCATCGTCACATATTCACATGCACTAGAAAAGACACACATTCAAATTCAGCAGGAAGGGGTTGGAGACATAGTACAGTTGGTAGGGCGCTTGCCTAGCATGCATGAACCCCAAGTTCATTCCTTAGCACTACAAGAAAACAGGCCTGTAATCCCAACACTCAGAAGGGAGACAAAGCAGGAGGACTACCCCCAGCTACACATGTTGGGGGCTTCTAAAGAAATGAGAAATGAATTTTCACAGGTTGACTTCAGTTTTGCATGTGTAGGGTGTGTGTCCCTTATCAGAAATGCTTTGGACCAAAGAGAGTTCAGAGTTTGAGTTGTTTGGGTTTGGGGATGTTGGCATAGATTTTACTAACTGATCAGTCAGAAACTTTGAAATCCAGAGTAGTTCAGAATCCAGAAAGAGTATCATGTCATTGCTCATAAGTTTCAGATTTGCCATTTCCACATTTCGATTCTCAACTTTTCCTGAAAAATACTTTTACAAGGTATTATTCTCAGCCAAATTAACAATTTATGGTGAAATTGCAATAATTGTTCTCATCTGTATTTTAGAAGTATTTTCCACTGGAGATTTAGTTCAGCAGGTTCCTGTTGCCTAGCAGTGGGGCTTTGAGAACGGCTTTTTGCTTAGTTCTGACTGAACCAGTTAATGGTATGGGGTCTTAGAAGAAGTAAGGTCATTGTAGTGAAGGTAAAAGGAAATGTGCCGACAGCTAATTGAACAGAATGTCATAAGCCACAGTGACTCGGGAAAGATCTGCAGAAACATAACAACCAAGAAAGGGGCTTGCTCAAAGCAGCTAGACAAACTCGGAGACCAGTCTAGAGAAAGGCACCGTTTTCACCAGTTCCCAGTAGGGACCTGCAAAATGTGCATCCACTGACCACAAGAACACACCTGACACCTCTACCCTTAGAAACTATTTTTTCTAGGATTTGTTTAGTAGAGACATCTTTTCTGTGCCTTTTAGGGTAGCCCAGCTTCTCACAGACTCACTAGTTTGTGTCACAAGAGGGGTTGTCAGTATTTCAGGGAAACTATGGTGATAGATAAATTTAAGAATTAGCCTGAAAAACACTATCAACTTTAGTAAGAGAGATTTTTTCTTTTGCCTTTTACTTTGTACTTTTCCATATGATTTCTTTACAAACTTTAAAAGTGTGACAACAGCAGTGTTTGTAGAAATCAAGTCAGTGACTTATTCCTTCCTCCCAGCCATGGCTGTCAGTACTCTCCCCCTACCATGTGAGATGCAGCCAGACATGATGGGCAGCTCTCAGGAGCTGGCCAGAGCATCCTGGGTTCAAGACCCAGTTGGGCTACATAGGAAGTTCCAGGAAAGAATACAAAACTGCACAGTGAGACCTTGGGGAACGCAGCTCAGTGGTAGATGATGCCTGTCTTCATGTGCAAGGCCCTGAGTTTGATCAACACAACAGACCCC